GTCCTTCTGTCCGGTCACGTAGTTGGCCCAGAGGGTTTCAGTGCCTAAGTGTGTGCCCCGTGCCCTGCATCAGGTGCTCCAGATGGACTTCACATTCCCCAGCGAGAGGAAGGGTTAGATGGCAGGGGAAGGGGGATATTCGGCAACACTGTTAAAGAGGAGGTGACAGTGCTTAACTTGAATTAGATCAGGGGACGAAGGAGAGGCCGTGAGGCAGGGAGAGGGAGACTGTGCTGAAGGATTGGGGCTTGTTCCAGGCATCTCTTACTATGTAAGCAACTACCCCAAAACTTCATGGCTTAAAACAGCAACCATCTTATTTATTGCATGATTCTGTGGGCCAGGAATTTGGGCAGTGCTCAGCCAGACACTGTGCTTCTGTTCCACTTGATATCAACTGCGGTTACTTGTCAGCTGAATGATGGGCTGATCTGGAGGGTCCAAGACAGCTTCACCCACACAGCTGGTGCCTTAGTGGGTGGTTGGAAGGCTGGGCTCAGCTGGGACTGCCAACTGGACCACCTCTCTGTGGCCTCCCCTCATGGTGGGTCCCAGGTTTCTTACATGGCAGCTCAAGGCTCCCAGGAGACCCAGGTGGAAGCTGCAAGTCTTTTTACACCTGGCTTTGGAAGTCTCAGAATGTCACTTCTTCTACGTCGAAGCAGGTCACTAAGGCTAGCCCAGGTTTAGGGAGAGGAGAATTAGATTCACTTCTCGGTAGGAGAAGTAATGGGAATTTGTGGCCATCTTTAATCTACCACACTGTGGTCCTTGATAGGAGAGCCATTGGGAAGACTTTAAGGAGGAAAGGTTGGTTGGGGTGGTGGGTGCATGACATGTGACCAAATGTACTTTTAGATTCGGAGGCAAAGATCAAATGATAGTGGAGTGGTGAGTTGGCAGGTGTTGGAGGTGGGACAGTGGGTATGGAGTACTCTTTCAAGATTCTTGGCTGTGAGAAGATGGGAATGGAAGTGGAGGCTCAGAGTGAGGCTCAGGGTTGGAGGGGTTTGCTTGTTTTTGCTTTGCTTGTTTGTTTTGAAGATGGGTGAGGTCACCAATGACCCACTCTTTTCCAAATCATGGTTGTGCATTCTTGTTCTGCTAATGGCTTCTTAACACTGTTGAAATTCTCTCTTCTCTTGTCTTTGGTGATATAACCTTCTGCTGGCTTAGTTGCAACTAAGAAGGGTTATTTCATTGAATGATTATATTTCCCAGGGTCTGTCCTTCTTTCCTTTGTTATTCTGCATCTTTTTCTTGAGCAGTCTCATTTACTCGCATGATTGTAAGCGTTATACCTGTATGGTGAAGGCACTCAAGTCCATAACTTTCCTCACCTCCTCCATGTCTCCCCCTGTAATTCCTGTTCCTCTTTCTAATAGTGCCATCACCTTGGCCTAGGCCAGAAGCCTATGTGACATTCCCTTTCTCTGTCCCTCACTCTGTGCAGCCAGACAGGTCACCAAGTACTATTGCTTTTTTTCCTTTAAAATCAAGGTTCTCAACTGTGGCTACAAGCAAGCATCACCTGCACCTGTGGAACTTTTAAAACATGCACACCTGGAGCGCTGTCCCAGAACTGCTGAACCAGACTCTCTTGAGACTTAGGCATGCATATTTTTATAAAGCTTCCTTGGTAATTTTAATGTTCACCTGGCATTGAAAACAACTCTCTAAATCTTTTGTCTTAACCCTCCAACTCATTTCTGCCATTGCTGCTTTGGTTTAGGCTGTTATAGTTTTCTGTAGCTATCGTAACAAATTGCTGCAAACGTGGTTGGTGGATTAAAACAGCAGAATTTATTCTCGCACAGTTCTGGAGCCCTCCGCTCTGGAATCACGGTGTCAGCTGGGCTCCGGCGGCCCCAGGGGAGGAAGCTTCCTTGTCCGTTCCTGCTTCTGGTGGCTCCAGGCATTCCTCGGCTGTGATTGTCTGCTTCCTGTCTCGGCCTCCATCTTCACATGGTTGTCTCCTCTCTCTCCCTGTGTGTCTTTTATTATGAAGACACTTGTCATTGGGTTTAGGGCCCCCCAGGGATGCAGGATGATCTCATCTCCAGATCCCTAACTACATTTGCAAAGACCCTTTTTCCAAATAAGGTCACATTCAGAGGTTCTGAGACATGGACATATCTTTTGGGAGGCCACCATCCAACCTGCTACATTCCGCCTGTGGTTAGGGTAGTTCTCCCTTCTGATCATCCTGACTCTACCCTGTGGGTCCATCCTGCGCTGTGCTGCCCCTGCGATTACTTGATAGCCAGTCGCGTTAGTCCTTTGCTTAAATCTTACCAGCTCCTGATTCTCCTTAGAGGAAAAAGCCTCACCCCTTCCCGTGGAGTTCCAGGCTGTTGTTCTCTGGCCCCTCCTGCCTTTTACCCTTCCTGCCCACTGCTTCTCCTGAACTTTATGCTCTCACATACTGAACTGCCACGTTCCTCCTGGCCTTTGTGCATACTGTTGCCCTATATTCCCCATTTAGTATTGTTCAGATTTCAAGACAGTTCAAGCAGTGCCTCCTCCGTGAAGCCTTCTCTAATGCCTCTTTGCGTATGCTTTGTGGGACTAGTGCGTCTTGTTGCGTAGTGTTTTATCACACTTGTCTTTGTGCTTTTCCCTACTTTTAAGAGAGCGCCGAAGACAGGGACGCTGATCATCATCAGTGTAGCTCTAGTGCTTGGCATTATAAATGTTGAATGAATGACCATGTAGCTTAACCGCATTAGAACCGTGTCTCATCATGGCACTGGTTTTTCCACTGTTCCCTTAATTATTTCTGGTAGAATTTCCAATGATCATCATCTCGATTTACTAAGTAAGTAGGCAGTCTGTAAGTCTACTGGCATATTATTTGCTTAACATGCAATATCTGTGCATCTTTGCTCAGGCAATTTAAATTAAAATGTTTCTTCATATGTTAAGGCTCACATTCCTGGTTTTTGTGTTTTTCCCTTTATGTTAGGTATGACTTTGGGGTTAAGCAGCAGAAACTAACCTGACTTAGCTGAAACTAAAACAGATTTCATGAACAGGGGTCAGAGTACCTCTGGGCCAACAGAAGCCCTTAAGGATCCTCTTCCCATGGCTTCTTGTTGCTTGTCTCTGTTCACCTGCTTCATTCCTCACTCCTCTGCTGCTCTGTCACATAACAGACTGTGACATCCCCATAGCCCCTGCGCTTACATTTTACAGCTCCAGCCATCCGCAGAGACTGGCTGGTTGTCTCTCAGTCCCAGTTTCCTGTTTTCCGGGATGAGAATGTCATTGGCCATCTTGGCCAGATGTCCACCTCTGGCCATTCAGCTCCAGGGTGGTGGTGGGGACGCTGGCCTGGCCATTTCATTTGAATATGGTTCTGGGGCTCACTGAAGGGAGTTAGGGGATGGATTCCTGAGAAGGGAGGGTTGTTGTGGGCAGATCCCTAAAAAGCCTCTGCCACACTCTTACGAGGGTAGAGCCTGTTGACCAGCAGTGTACGGTTGAGAGAAAGGTGCAGCAGAGAGCAGGGAAACGTGGGGGAGGAAGCCTTGCTGGATCTTGTACCAGTTGCCTCCAGGCCACAGTGGTAAAAATGTTCCTCTGAATTGTTTAAAGTCCTGGCTTTAATTGAGGCACATATGTTTCTCTTAATGCAGAATGTTCATCTTGATTTAAGTGATATGGAAATATATTAAAACAAAGTGAGTTTGTAGTGATTGTTTACTCATGGATACCTTCATTATAGTACGATCACAAATACGTTTAAGAAAATAATGTATGTTCTTCTGATCTTGCCTCAGAAAAAGGAGAGGAATAGACTTGAAAGAAATTATCTCTGTATTCTAGAGACATTTTTATGTAGCTGAGGTTAAAAACACAGCAGGAATAACTTCTGGAGATAATTCAAATCCACTGTCATGTTGTATCTACCGAATTGTAAAACAAGCTCAGAAAGCCCTTTTATTCTGACTTTTGATGTCCTCGCTGGGCTCAGGTCCCCTTGCCATTCTGGCTACCGTGCTCTTCTGGGCGTGACTGGACAAGTGGCAAAGGCAAGATTTTAGGAGAGAGGCGGGCCCCCTGGTGTGCTGCCCCTGACTCCGAGTGACTTAAGTGATTCCTTCCCCTTCCTGGGTTCTCTTCTTGGAAAGAACTTCTGCCATGGGGGAGGAGGAGCATAGTCACGTCAGTGTGGCAATGTGAGACAGCGGGCAGAGCATCCAGAGTTAGAACGTGCAGTTGAAAACAGAAGCGCTACCTGTGATCCTGTGTTTCTTTTAAACACTCATATTAGCTTAAGGCATTCATGTAGGAAATCCACTTAAGGACGTTCTGTGTTTCTAGGTGAGTTTTTAAGTTATTTGACAGTTTGTGGACTAAAACTCATCTTTTTCAGTTTTGGGCCTTTTCATGAGAAATCTTCTTGTACAGTCATATTTTATGTTTAATTTTTGCAAGTTATTTTTTGCTAACCTGACAGTGTAGGGTTCAAATAGAAATGGGAATGAATGTAGAGAATTCAGAACTTTCAAGAATGCAAGTAACTTAATTTGGTCTTCTTACAAATAAAGATTTTACACTAACGTGATTTGAGAATGAGAGATGAGGTTTGATGAGCATACTGTTTTCTAACTAGTTCATTTAAAAATATTTCTCAAGTGTTTCTCTGGGGTCCATTAGAATGACGCCGGGTGAATTGAGCCAGCACTAAGACAGCCCCTGCCGAATTCTCATTTGCTTATTTATACTCTGTCTCTTTCTAAAAGATTGGAGTGGTCTGACTTTATGGAATAGGCAGCCTGTAATTACATTCTAGATCGCCCTTAAATTACGTTTCTGGGAGTGATTGGAATGTCATTACAGCAGAAGTCTGCTCTGCAGCCTGTTCCTTTTGTGGGGTGTCTATTTAGTGGGCAATTCTTTATGACCATTCCTGTCTCTTCTCTTATTCATCTCACTTTTACTCTTAAAACTTTTAAAATCTGCAAATAAATGAACTCTTTCATCTCCATGTATAGGTACAACGGTGCTTTACCTAATGGAGACAGAGGCCGGAGGAAAAGCAGATTCGCTCTCTATAAGCGGCCGAAGGCTAATGGAGTCAAACCCAGCACGGTCCACGTGATTTCCACACCGCAGGCCTCCAAGGTAGGCGGCTCCTGCGAGTTGGGAGGGGCTTGGCAGGTGCTGACTCGTGGCTGTTCGTTGTTATTCCTTGTCCTTTCAGTCTTATTTCTCTGTAGGACAGTTTCTCAGCCATTTGTGGTCAGATAATTCTTTGCTGTGAAGAGCTGTCCTATGCATCGTAATATGTTTAGAGCATTCCAGGCTTTGACCCGCTACATAGGAGTAGCACCCCCCTCAACTGCCAACTGAAAATGTCTCCAGACGTTTCACGTTTCCAAATGTCCCCTGGGGGTGAGGTGGGCAAACCGTCTCCTCCCCCTACCTGTGACGGATGTAGTGGAACCAGCATATGTCAATTTAGAATAGTTGTGGTTGAAAGAGAAATGATTTTCTTTATCCTAAGGATAGTTTTTATATTAAATCTTGCTGTAAACTTCATTAGGGTTTGTTATTTTCCTTCTATTAATTGAGTAGTAGGTGTTTTCACATAATCTACATGTACACGGAATTGAATTTGTGTCATTATTAGAAAGATTGGAAGTGAACAGAGCTAAGTGCTGTAAGAAGTCTACTATTCATATTTCCTCTCGTTTGAAGTGCATACAATGTTAATTTTTATGATTACTTCTTTCGTTTTCTGATATGTGAGGGGAAGACCTGAGTTTCCATTCTGGTTGATATATTCTACCTATTAGATTTATGACAGTTTTTCTTTTAATTAAATAAGTTCTTTAATGTGTAACATAGTTTCCTTTTCTATAAAATAATTGTATTTACCTGAAGTATTTCATGTGGGGCGCTGTCTGTGCATGTTTATTTATCATAATGGGTTCGGACCATCTGGAATAAATAAGAGACTTGATTCCCATTTTTACTGAAAAGCTGTGGTTCAAAGGGAAATGAATAGGTTCATTAAAGCCATATGGTATTTATATGTAGTCTTAGAAACAGATCACCTTTGTTAATGTTTTTATTAAAAAAGCTCCTGTGTTGTTTCTGAAGTAGTGCCATGAAAAACGTTTGCTAGAATGTACCAGTTAAGATTGTCTTGTTTTGGTGAGAGAATGGTTAGATCAGAAAATATCAAACACTAAGGAAACAGGAAAGATTAACATCTAGCGGCCAAGTTTTTGGCTAGAGAAAGGGAAATAAAGTGAAAGTTTTAGGAAGGGAAGGACACTTTGTGGGGAAAACAGAGGAAGTCCGCCTCACAAAGATTCTGAGAGGAGGAGGAAGTGGAATAGCGGCAGAATCTTGGAAGGTCAAGGAAGTGTGAGAAGCATTTCATAGCCCAAAAGTAGCTGGTGGAGAAGGAGACCAAGGCAAATGTTTTTCAGCTTCTGATGAGTGACAGAAATATTCTGATGTTATAGACGTGGTCTTTGTAATTTTGTCTCTGTGCTGGCATTTATGTTTCCTGCCTCTGGCTCTGCACCTTTTTACATTTACCTTTTTTTATCTTAGATTTTATGTTAATACAATGGCTTCAGCTATTTAAAAATTTTTTATAGAAATCTGTGACTACTCAGGCTTTACGTTATGATAGAATATGAAATATAACTAGAATATGAAATATATCTTCCAGTAGCTACTATTGGAAGATCAGTGACTCTTCCTTATTTATCACCCACCTCCGTCGGCTCCGCTTTTAGCTTTTTATGTTTTACCTTTATACCTAGATTTTACCTGAAGTTATTTAGATTGTAAATCTTTTGGTAGTTGTCTGTCTAAATCTGTTTAAAAATATCACCCGCTGTACTAGTAGTAGGGAAGATTGGGCTTTGGTCTTACAACCTGGGAAAAATACAGCCTCAGGGCCTCAGTTTCCTCATTGATAAAATGAATGAGTTGGCTGTGGGCAGGAGCCATGTGGAATGAGGTAAGATACTTTGGTTATAAGCAACAGAAATGATTCTGTCTTTAAAAGAAACCAAAATGGGGCTCAGCCTGGTGGTGTAGTGGCTGGGTTCCCATGCTCTGCTTCAGCGGCCTGGGGTTCATGGGTTCAGATCCTGGGCACACACCTACACACCCCTCATCAAGCCATGCTCTGGCAGCGTCACATATACACAGTAGAGGAGGGTTCACACAGATGTTGGCTCAGTGACGATCTGCCTCAAGCAAAAAGAGGAAGCTTGGCAACAGATGTTAGCTCAGGGCCAATCTTCTCCACTAAAAAAAAAAAAAAAAGCAAAAATGGAGAAACTGTTAAAGGTTTGGGTAGGAACAGCTCTCGGAATTAGGAGAAGTTGAGTAACCAGGTTTTGTGAGAGAGGAGAACTGGAGTATCAAAAGGCGTTAACATGGAAATTTTTTTAAGGGTGTTGTAAAGTGACTTGGCTCCAACTACCTTCTATAGGATTTTAAATTTTCAGGAAAGAGAATCGGACAGACCTAGCCTGGGTCAGTCAACCATGACCGAGAGAGATGAGTAGACCAGGCATATTTATTATGAGCTGATCAACTACCCCGTTGCCTTTCCCTTAGGCATCTTCCTCATCTTGGTACCTGTACACTGACGGCCTTGTACGTAGTATTCCGCCTACCTGAACCCAGCACCTTAGTCACAAATGCCTCACTCCTTCTTTTCTCTCTCAAACTCCCATCCCTGGTCTGCCTTGCCCTGCCATTCCTGCTTCAGCTGCTCTGTTGGCCCCTTAGACAGTCTCATATGTTTAACCTTTTCTTCAAATTTTCCTCCTACTGCATCACCTTGACTGAATCCTGGTTTTTTACTGATACGCTGTTTTTCCCATTTCTTCCAGTTCATAGAACAAGAAATTGTTTCGTTCCGTTTCCTTTTCAGTCTCTTCTTTTTAACCCTACATTAATTTAAGCTGCCTCTTCCCCTGCGTCTCTTGACCTCGCTCACCTACAGTTCTCCCTTCTGCGTATTTCAGTGACTCAGTATATAGCCCAGTCTCTCTCTCTCCCAACCCGTTAAACCATACGTTGGTGTCCATGGTTCTCAGTGCTGTAACACTTTCAATTTTGGAGACTCACTTCTGTTCCACTTTTCCCACTGATAATAGCCCACTGTCACTTCAAAGTGACCCTACTCTCCAGTTCTTTCTACTTGTGTATGCATGTACATACTTATCTCATCTAGACATCGAGCCCATTAGCCTGTCCCTATTTGCTGTGGTTTTTAGCCCACGTGGCTTTTCCAGTTGTGTGTTGACTTCACCCCAGATTCTCTTTTTCTGGTACCTTTTGACACCCTTCTTTGTGATCCCTGGCTTTGGGCCCTTTCCAGGCCCTGCTGGATTGTTTTTCTTGTCTTCCTTCTTGCTCACCCCATTTCCCATCAGAATACCAGAGTATGTGGTGGTTCTTGGCAAAAGTTGTTTGACCTGACTCAGCCGTGGTTTGTCTGCTCTGAAATTTCTGATTCTGCAGTATTGGTAATGAAAGGGTTATCTTTGATTGGAGTCGTAAAAACGAGACCTAGCTGGGTGGGTGTGGTTACCATTGTTAGAATTTGAGTGCTTGGCCTTTCGACTGTGTTATTTCTTCCCTCTGCCCCACAGTCTGGGGGCAGACCAAGGAGTACCCCTTTGCTGATGGTAGTGGCAGCTGGGAAATGGGACCCCTGGGTCTGCCATGCATGCCAGTGTCCAAGCTAAGTCAGATGAGGATTGCAAGTATGTGCTGCTGTTGTGTAATCTTTATTTGGGTACATATTTGCTCTTGGAATAGTAATACTCAAAGGTATTTCTCCTGTTATATAATGTTTAAACAAAATCTAAAGTCCTCTTGTACTTTTGGCAGTTCTGGTACCTAGACATAGGGCAGTTAGCAATTTATTCACCCATTCGTTTATTCAACAAGTATTTATCCAGCGCTTTTTTATGGCCAGGCATCATGCTAGGTATTAGATATACTGCAGCAAACAAAAGATGTCTGCATGGAGCTAATCATCTAGTGACTGGTTAAGTAATCGATAAGTAATCATGTGAGTACATATGTAACTGCGCATTGTGAAAAGCACAGTGAAGGAAAAGAATAAGGTGCTGTGGGAAAAGGGGCTGCAGAGTTTAGATTGGGTAGACAGAGAAGGATCTCTGGGGCAGTGGCTCGTGAGCTGCGAGCTGAAAGGTAAAGAGGAATTAGCCAGGAGAGCAGAGTTCGGGAGCTCCTGTGGTCCTGGTTGGAGAATTTGGATTTTTTTCTAAGGACAAACACTGAAGGGTGTTAAGCAGAGGGAGTGGCATAATATGACTGAGAATTTAAGTTGATTTATGTTTGTTCATTTACTTTTTAACTATGTAGCGCAACTATTTTACTATTACTTAACCAGTGAATAGTATGGTGGTGGTGATGGTGCCTGATAGGTGGATATTTTGCTGGTCACATGGTTTAACTTTAGCAACATTTCTGTGGAAAACTCATCATGATTTTTCCTTCTTAGATTGTGCTTCATTGAAATCTCCTTTTTTGGGTATTTTTACTTTTAAACAGTAACTGAAGATTACTTTGTCCCAGTTGGCATATTTCAGAATGGAAAATATCAGTGGTCTTAGAGTGACACTTTAGAGAAAAATTGGGACTATTTCATCTGATTGTTAGAACCAGGACTTGCTGTTGGTTCTACCGGTTGATGAGATATTGAAACTCTTCCTTATTGGTCAATTAATAATGTAATTGTAACTGTGAGAAGTGGTAAAACTAATATAGATTTCAGTGTAAACTCATTAGTTCAAGCTAATTTTGTAGGCTGTAGTGGGGTCTACTTTTAAAGCACTGAGTGTCTGCCTGTTTGTCCAGCGTGGTTCTTGGTAGCGATGGGTTGCATATCTCCACTGCACATTCATTATGAAGCTGCAGCCTCTGTGCTTTCAGAGAATCATCTGTTTATCATTATCCTCAGACTGTGTAATTGCTGCAGCTTTTAAACAGTTGAGTTTTGAATAGTTTTTACTTTGGTTTCTTTCATGTTGTTGTACTATAATTCTTGGGTTAGTAGTATCTGGTGTTTTGATATTTATTACTTCAAGAATTAATTTTATTGTTATAAATGA